TTTTCTTTCCTTTCTTCTTCCCTTCCTTTCTTCCTTCCTTTTTCTTTTTTCTTCTCTTTCATTCCTTTATTTCATTTTTCTTTATCCTTTGCTTCCTTCCTTCTTTTTTTTTTTCTTCCTGCCTTCTTTATCCCATACATTCAAAGATGTTAAATTCAGCCTCAGTAAAAAGGAGCAAAAAGTAACTGGTAATTGCTTAAAATTTCCAGTAGGTGGAGATAAAGTACCCTTGATATCGTATTAGGCCATAACAAAATACAGCTGGCCCTTTTTTTCCCAGCGAAAACAATGATGGCTTTATGCTAAACATATGAGTTCAGTTATAACAAAATCATGCTACCTTTATGACATTTTTTTAAAAAGATGTGTTGGTATATGTGTGTTTGTGTATATATGTGTGTGTGCACATCTTGTTCAACTTCAAATAGATATTGTATAAGCTTTTTAAAATGGAAATTTTTTGTAGTCTTAAGTTAACAGCAAAATTGAGAGAAAGGCACAGATATTTCCCATAGGCCTACTGCCATCATGGGTGCATAGCTCCCCCATTATCAATATCTACACCAAATGTACCGAGTACATTCGTCACAGTTAATGAACTTACATTGACACGTCATTGTCACCCAGAGTCCATAGTTTACATCGTAGTTTACTTCTGTGTATTTCTGGGGTGTGGACAGAGGTATAATGACATGTATCCACCAAAATAGTTTTCTACACAGTAGTTATACCGCCTTAACATTTTTTTATGCTCTGCCTATTCATCTTCCTTCCTCTTCCCAATGTCCTGGCAACTACTGATCTTACTGTTCTTCTGTAGTTTTTACTTTTCCAGGAGATCATTTAGTTAGAATCATAAAGTATGTAGCCTTTTCTGATTGACTTTTTTGTTTTTTCTTTTTAAAAATTTACCAGAGGTCACATGTGCTCAACAGAGAGATAGAAAGAGAAAAGCAAGAAAGCACCACCCTGGGGGATGGTCCTGTTGCATCCCTTCTCATCTGTTTGTCCCCGTTTTGGTATTTTGGGCACACATGCATAAATGGCCAAGTCAGTGGACCTGGGACTTAGTCAGTCAGCGAGCCAGGTGGGATCCAGCTGCCGTCACCACCACAGCAGCCAGCTGGTGGCCCTCACTTACTTCCGAGGTTTCCTCCATGTTTTGTTCAGAGCTTAATTCTTTTAAGTTCTAAATGAATTTCCATTGTCTGGATGTACCACAGTTTATCCACTCACCCACTAAAGAAGAAGCTGTTTTCTTCCTGGGGCTGGCAATTATGAAGTAAACTGCTATAAACATCCAGATGCAAGTTTTCATGTGGACATGAATTTTCAGCCTCTTTATGTAAATACTAGTACAATTTCTGGGTTCTATGGTAAGAATATGTTTTGTTTTGCAAGAAGTTATCAAATTGCCTACCAAAGTAGGAGTATCATTTTGTATTCTCACCTGAAATGAATGAGTACATTTGTTTCCCATGATTATCAACATTTGGTATTGTCAGTATCTTGGATGTTGGACATTCTAATAAGTCGGCTGTGGTATCTCATTGGTGTTTCAATTTTTATTTCCCTAATGACATATATGTGGAGCATTTGTGTATCTTGATATGTGATATGAATTGCCATTATATATCATCTTTGGTGCATTGTCAACTAAGATCTTTGCCTATTTTTTTAAAATCAGGTCATTTGCTTATTGTTGAATTTATTGTTATTTCTATAACAACCTTTTAGTAGATAGATCATTTGTAAATGTTTTCTCCCAGTCTTTGGCTTGGCTTTTCATCCTCTCTTTTTTTATCATTATTTTATTGAACTTTCTTCCTTTATTTATTTTCATTTGACTGGAAAGAGACACAGAGAGAGAGACAGAGAAAGAGAAAGTGAGAAAGCAAGCCGCCAGGTCTTGGGATTCAAACATGCAGGAGTCCAGCGCCCTTAACCACCATGCCACCTACCAGACCTGGTCTTTTCATTCTCTTAACAATGTCTTTCACAAAGCAGAAAATTTTAATTTCAATAAAGTCCAGCTCTTTTAAGACAAATTTGCGCCCCTCCCTACCCCATCTGGAGACCAGTTCCAGTTAATCGCATTGCCAGACACCAGACTGCTGGTGATTGCAAGCCCTAATGGCCAGGACCATGGCTCATTACCTCCCCTACACACACACACACACACACACACACACACACACATGTGGTTGCCTTTGGACTCTCAGAACTTTGGTGTCTTGAATAGGGTGCACATTGCCCCGCGATCTTTTCTTTGCTCCTAAGGTGAACGAAGTTCACTAGCTCAGTCGGAGGTTCACCACTCTTTAGAAACAGGGAGTCACCCAGAACCTGTGACAACAGTGCAGGGTACTGCTGAGCAACAGGGAAGCAGACCAGAAGAGATATCGCCAATATTCTACTCCTGCACACCTTTGAACACTCAAAGGTAACTTAAGTAGGTTAGGAAGGAATGCATAGACCACCAGATGACTAGGAACAATCACAGAGGCACAAGAAATATGAGCAGCCAACAAAACGTCTCTCCCCCCCAAAAAAATGTCAATCCCACCTCACCCACAGACAACACAAAGGACGAGGTGGACATGTCAGATAAGCAATTTAGCATATTTGTAGTGACCAAACTCATTGAGAAGCCAAGAGAAAAGAGATAATGAGCTCCAGGTGGTGAGGAAGTTCTTTCATGATTTGAAAGAAGAAATAAATACCTTAAAAAAGAATCAGATGGAACTGTTAGGGATGAAAAATGTGATACAGGAAATTAAAAACTCCCTTGAAAGTATTAAAAGTAGATTAGATCACGCAGAAGATTGAATAAAGTCCAGCTTATCAATTCTTTCTTTCATGGAGTGTGGCTTTGATGTCATTATCAAACCTAAGGTCATCTAGACCTTATTCTACATTATTTTCTAGGAGTTTCATATTTTACTTTAGGTCTGTGATCCATTTTGAGTTAATTTTTATAAAAGGTGTAAGGTTTGCATCTACATTCTCTCTCTCTCTCGACAACTGTATATAGAGTTGTTTCAGCACAACTTTTTGAAAAGGTAGACTTTTCTACATTGTTTACTTTCACCCTTTTGTTAGAGATCAGTTGACTATATTCAAATGTACCTATTTCTGGGCTTTCTCTTCTGTTTCATGGATATATTTGTCTCTTCTATCATCACGTCTTGATTACTGTAGCTTTATAAAACATCTTAAAGTCAGATAGTGTCAGTCCTCCAATTTTGTTTTCCTTCAGTGTTTTGCTGGCTATTACGTCTTTTGCTCTTCCATGTAAACCTAAGAGTCCTTTTACTTTATTCATGATAGAGCATGTGCACATATATGTGAGAGTGAGAGAGAGAAAGGGGACGACCCTCCACAGAATTCTGTCATACCACAATCTCCTTCCTCCAGTCCCCTGGCCCATCAGATCTTGGGCATTCACAAATGTGCTCAGCATGTTTCAAATCAGGCTGGAAATTCAAACCAGGGTCACCAAGTGGGATCCTGTTTCTGTTGAACAATGCATTATTACTGCACTACGAAGTTAGCACTCGAATTAATTAATACCCACAAATATAACTCACTGGAATTTTGACCGAGATTGCATTGAACCTCATTCAGAAGAAGTGACATCAATTCTTCCGTAATGTAACAGTGTCATCTTTGACAATATTGAGTTTTCTAATCCACGAATATGGATATATCTACATTTATTTAGTTATACTTTGATTTCTTTCATTAGAGTTTTGCAGTATTCCTCATATGGATTTTGTACATATTTTGTTAGATTTATACCTAAGCATTTCATTTTAGAAGATTATAATATGAATAGTGTTGTATTTTCAATTTCAAATTCTCTTTGTTCATTGCTGGTATATAGGCTATCAATTGACTTTTATATATCAACCTTGTGTCCTAAAAACTTGCTATACTTACTAGTTCCAGGAGTTTGCCAATTCTTTCAGATTTCTACATAGAGGATCTGTTGGATATTTTCTTTTCTCTAGGTAGATGAGACTCGGATAAACCCCAGAAGGCTAGTTTCTCTGGAGGGCAGACCTTTCTACAAGGAGTGAATGCTCTTTTGTATTTCAAAATGATTCTTTTTTCATCTGTCCTTGCTAGAAGCACAAGAGAATTTACTAAAATATCCTCACTTTTCCTGTGACCTAACTTTTTTAGGGATCTAAGAATAGTTGTAGATTCAATTTGCTCAAGTTTTCACTTGTTAGGATGCTGTGGCAATTTTCAAGTTTCTTACATGCTGGATCAGAAACTGCAAATCACATAGACTTTAGAAATCTTAAATCTCTCAAAGTGGAAAATAATTTATACAAATATAAACTAGGTTTATTTATAAATTCTTACTCTTTAAAATTTACATATTTTATAAATTAAGCCATTTAATTAAAGAGATTTTATTTTATTTATTTCTGTCCCTCTCTAGGAGAGAATTACACTTAATTTAGAATGACATTTGCATCTTAATAGCAGAGAAAGCTTAACAAAGACTCAGAAATAGCAGGTTTGAATGTCACCAGTGAGATGATGCAAATCTGTTTTTGTTTGATTACTAGAATACAAAAATTTTAAATTTTGACTCTCAGTACAAAATATATAATCAGTTCTTCGGTAATGAATATATGCATTTCTATAAATTGTTGCATCATACAAAACCACATAATAAAACTTACAGAGCTAATGGGGAAAATACGATTAGGGGAACAACACTACAAAATTTCATCAGTGACACATTTTTTTTAAAAAAGAATTATTTATTAATTTATTTAAATTTGTTATTGTTAATTTTTTTTCTTTATTTGATGAGAGAGAGAAAGGGAAAGTGAGAAAGCAAGCCACCAGGTCCAGGACTTGAACCATGGTTGGCCATGTGGGAATCCGGCGCCCTTATCCACCACACCACCTGCTGGCCCCTAGTGACACATTTTAATAAACATTAGAAACAATAAAAATGGTAGCGCAGATGTATATGTTAAGTGGTACCATATAATAATATAATAATACTCCATATTAATACATAATGCTACAACATAACACTATGTAATGCATAACATATAATACTTCAACAAACAACACTTTACCTTTAAAATGACCTGAGGTTTTATGCAATACTTTTTGATAGCAGTGGAAGACCTAAAATATTATCAAAGGAAAACAAAACAAACAAACAAAAAAAACAGAAAAGAAATTATGAAACTGAAAAGAGAATGATGACAGGCAGAGAGGAGTATGGGACTGAAAAGAGAATGATGACAGGCAGAGAGGATGACAGCACATGGGTTTCCCATGTGTAAAGTTGCCTATCACAGCCCAAGTTACATATACACACAGAGTAATTTGTGATCCAGGGCAAACAGGGAGCGTAGCACACACTGAAGACAACCTGGCACAGTGAGAGAGCACAACAAAAGTGTTGGAGGAACAGCTTTCCTTGGAGAGGAAGACACCATAAGATTTTTTTGACATTAAACTGGGAGAATAAGCTGATTATGAACATGACTTCATTACCTGGAAAAGGCTGCATAACGGAACTGTAAGCCAAGATTTGCTTGCTCCCTAGGGCCTTCACTTGGGAGAGGATTGCCCCATTTCTTTTCTTTGCTTGACAAATCTCTGTGCTGTCCTTTACTGTGATGATCCAATATATAAATTCTCCATCCACGGTTAAGCTAACAAGTGTTTGTTCTGTTGATGAAAGACATAACAGCAATGAAAAACAAAATGTGTATCTTACATTTTTTATTTGAAACAATATTATAAAATGTATTATAACTGATTAATTTTGAATCTTTTTATTATTTCAGTATGAAAAAGTAATTTATATTGTCATTTCAATAAAAGTTTTAGAAGAATTTTCTCATTCTAACTCCATGTCAATCCAAGAAGATAAATACCATTATTATCAAACTCAAGTTGAAGAAGTTAAATAATATAATCATGGCCACAAAGCTAGTAAAAGGCCAAGACAAGATTTAAAACCCAACTGTGACTCCAATATAAACAATGCCAACCTGAGAGAAGTACTGATGATAGACTTAGGGTTCACTGCTTTCTTGCTTGATATTTTTATCAGTTGTTTGTAATGAATGAATAGTAAACATGCTAAGTAGTCTTCAGAAAGTTCATGGAAATACACATTATAGAAAGACTGTCATGGGTTTCCACATTTTTTGCACCAAAAAAAAGTCATACTTTAATTCTATACCCTGAACTTCTTGAAGTCCACTCATATTTATGAAATTTTCAGATAATGCATGATTATCACTGTCATTAGTAGGTTTATTTATAGCCTTGGATTCAAAAATGTCACAATAGAATCAGGAAATAGGTTAAAATTTAATTGGAACAAGTGCAAAAATCTAAATTTGAGTTTATAATCAACTCTATAAATTAATTAATTAATGAAAGAGATCAAGATTAATAATAACTAACATGAATGAGTAAGACCACAGGTTTTTCAGAACTCCCCTACATTGTTGGTAGGAACGTAAATTAGTACAGCCACTGCGGAAGTGAATACAGAGGTTCCCCAAAGATCTACAAATAGAACTACCACATGATTGAGCAATTCCACTTCTGGGCATCTACCCAAGGGATAGGAAAACACTCAGTAGGAAAAGTGCTTGCACACCTATTGTCTATCATGACATTATTCACAATTGCTAAGACACAGAACCAATCCAAATGTCATGAACAAATGAATGGATTGAAAAAGTGTGGCATATATACTCTACGGAATACTACTCAGCCATAAAGAACAATCCTAGCACTTAATAGAAAGTGGACATATATGGAAGATTTACTGCTGAGTGAAGCAAGCCAGGCTATGAAAGAGAGACATTGTATGTCTCTACTTAATATATACCAACTGTCTACACTCTATAGCAGAAACTGAAATACTAGAGGATATAGAAGCCTGGAAAATGATTACAGACACTGGAGCCAGTGCGGGGAAGAGGGCGAGAGATGGGGGAAAGTAAGAAGAAAGGAATCAAGGAGAAAAATAGAGACCCAAGACTTTGAGGAATACAGAAATGGACAATTATCTGTTGATGATAACACATATAGTATGTAATATTGGACTGGTAAGGAGTGTGTTCATGTTCGATGAATTTATTTTGTAAGCTGTTATGATGTACAGTGAATGTATAAAAGAAGTTTTAATTTTTTTAAAAAAGACTATAGGTTTTTCAGTGACAGGCAGCCCAAAGACCTAAAGTCACTTTTTTCTTAATTTTTTTTACATTTAATTACTGTGTATCTTTACAGTATACAAAATGAACCTTCCCAGCATGAATATACTGTATATTAGTCTAATCAACGATATTACCATCCATACCATCATCAAAGGATAATTTTTCATTTTTGTGTCTCTTAAATGTTTTGTGCTTTGTTTTCCCTTTGAACCCCTCCTTCCTGCCCCCTCATTGTTCACCTTAGCTAGAGTAAAAAGAAGGCCAGAAAGAAGTCAGAGTCCTCCTGTACTGACCAGAACACTTTGAAAGTATAATGTGTCACTAGGAGGCACTATTTAAGAGGCTATTAACCAGCTGGAGTAAAACCACAGAGGGCAATTAGGGCAGAGAAAGATCTAGAAGCCACATCAGGAATAATTACAGGTACTTGATTTTTCCTCTAAAGAAGGTATTGAGATATATGACAGCTATTTCTGCATAGTCAAATGGCTATCATGTAGAAAGTGACTGATTTATTCTTTGAAAATTTAGAATTTCAGAGAAGTGTAATTAAAGTTTGATCAAGGAAAGAGTCTTTGTTAGATTAAAAGGAACAAGTGATTTCCCAAGAGGATAAGTTTAAAACATTACTTAAGCCTATTGACAGTGTATAAAAATTGTTTCTAAAAGGTTCTGGGTGACATGTCAATAAAACCTTATGTACCATTATAACACACACATATATTTGCACTTTTAAAACCTTACTATATAAACTAGCACTGCCCAATATAACTTTCAATAATAATAGGACTGTTTTATACATTGATGATCCTGTATTTAAACTCAAAGTCACAATTAGTCACTTGTGGCTTTGAGCTCTTGAAATGTGCCTACTATGACTAAGGGATTTAATTTTAATTTTATTTAAATGACCACATGTGCATAGAGGTTACCATGTTAGATTTTTTTTTTTTTTGAGAGATTTTCACTGTAGGGCGCGTGCGCTCGCCAGACAGAGAGAGACATAGAGATAGAAAGCGAGAAATCACCCCCCAGGGGGGATGGTCACGCCGCAATCCCTTCTCCTCCATTCTCCTCTTGGGATCTTGGGCACGCATGCACACGTGCCCAGCGTGAGTTTTAAGCCACCGGGTCTGGGACACAAACCGCGGTCGACTACGTGGGAGTCTAGCGACATAGCCATTACGCTAACTGCTGGTTCTCACCATGTTAGATATTGAGGAGTAGATTCTTAAGAGTATATAGGTATTTAGAGTATATTTCCTGTCAGAATTACTACTGACTTTCAAATTATCATAGGCTTTCAATCATTTCCTCTACAAACACATCAATTTCAACACCTAGATCTACCAAACATTGACTAATTCATGCTGAAAATGGAGTCAATGAGATCATCAAATCAGAAATAAAATAGATCATGAATATTGTAGTTGGGCCCAATTTTAACCTCTCTATTGATTGGTTGTGGCCCTTTAGATACATTTTCTTACTTTTTCAGTCTCAGTGTTCTCATCTGTAAAGTAAGACTACTAATATCAACCTTCACAAGATACCGTGATGATTAAGTGAGAAAATGTATTTAGTGACATGCTTAGAATACATAGTTAAGGTCACTCCACTGTAGATTTACTGTTAGTTACAAAACTTAAAAAAAAAACACTACACACACAAACATATTTGAATATCTATATACTGTTTGCCTGGAAACAACTTGATTTGAATCTTTCTATTTGGTATGGCCCAGAGAAAATACCATGTGTATTGTCTTTTGAACATATGTGAAGTTCAAGGCCTCTTTAATGGAATGAGAGGAGCTGCCGTTATTTATAAAGATGTATGCACACACATCAGCATCTTACCAAGCACGCCAGGCATCATGATAACTCTCCAACACTGACATCCTTCCAGATCTGTGGCCCAGATTTCTTGCCCTTTGGCAAAATATATCTGTGGTTTCTCCAGGTCAGAGGTATCAACAGTCATTGCTCCACTTAATTCAAATTCAGTCACATTACAAAAACATTGGCTTCTTCCAGTTTGTTGGTTTGTGGCTGTGGGTTGCAGAATGCGGTGCAAGGTGTGATTGATAATACTGTAGTAGAACATCTGATAGCCAAAATCGGAAACTTCTGTCCAATACAAGCGACTACAGGGGGAAAAAGAAGGTCCCTCCAGCTTAATGAGTAAAATATATCATTCCAAATATTAGTTTCTAATGAAGAATAATCTTTCCTAATGATTGGAAGCACAAATACTGACTGTGGAGATAGAGTTTCTCAGTGTCCTATAACCTTCCCCTCAGATGGAGGAGGTCACAGAAGTCTAACTCATAACATTTCAATGATTTATCAATAGATATTTTTGCAACTAAAGTCTTAGATCATAATAACTTTAGCCTCTGTATTAAATGGCTTATTAATGACTGTACATATGAAATATACTTGCCTATTTTTCATCAACATTGATCTCTGTTTCTCTTTTCTCACATTTATTTCTGCTTTTTTTTTTTGAGAGAGATTTTTTGCTATTAGGTATGTGCCCTCGCCAGAGAGAGACAGTGAGACAGAAAGTGAGAAATTACCCTCCCTCCCCCCAGGAGGGATGGTCATGCCATAGTCCCTTCTCCTCCATTCTCCTCTCAGGACTTTGGGCATGCATGCACACGTGCCTGGAGTGAGTTTGAAGCCTCCTGGTCCAGGACTTTAACCGCAGTCGACTATGTGTGAGTCCAAAAATGTGATCATTACTCCATTTCTGCTATTTCTGCTTCTTAATACTAATGTAATCTAGTTTCAGAATAGTCTACACCCATGCTTATGGTACAAATGAAACACTATATCTTTCCAGCCTGGGAAATTGCTACTCAATCAGTTACTGAATGATGTATTGTATAGTATTCTCAACTTACCTGGTGTGTGGCATATATATCATGTTGGGTAAAATCTCTTTACAATCCAAATGATGTATAGCAATTGAAAGTACAAATAATAATAAGTAATAATAAAATAAAAAATAAGAACTCTTCTTATGAGGACATTGATTAAACTAAGAAGGATGAGCCAGAATAGCTTTTGCTGCCCATTTATTCCTGTTCACTTCCTGCCACTGTCTCAGTCCCCTTCTTGACCTTACCAACTTATGATATTAAATTCACTAATATAAAAATCTGTTACTGTTTCCTGTAGGTAATCGGCCTAATTTTAATTCAGTGAAGTTGTCAGTATGAATCAAGTTTACATAGTTGTGGTTATGGGCTCATAATTATATGCTTAACTATCATTACTTAATATAGTGAGCCAAGAATCCTAGGCATCTTATTTTCCCATCAATGACTTCTAATGTTAAACCAAAGATACTACATTAAATATATCTATGTCTATTTCATCACAATAGAAAAAGATACTCGTGCTTACATACCTTAAAAGAGGATATACATAAAAAGAAATTATTGTTGAATTCCTGTTGAAAATCTTTAGCTCCCTGGGTCGTTTCACTTTGTGTTCAAGATCAACATCAAAAATTTGTATTCCATTTTGTGACTCTTTCAGTGCAAAGTAGAGGTGCCTTGAAATCCAGTCAATTGTAATAGCTGTGACATTAGAAACCACTGCATCTCGGAAAAGCTTAAAATTAGGTAGAGAACACAGCCAAAAATATAGGGGTCATTTGTTTGAAAACTTTTCTGCAATCACCCGTATCACTTTTTCTTAAGTTTATTTATTTCTTCTTTCCATGATATAACAGAAAGACAAAGAGACAGAGAGACAGGCATACATACTCAGTTCCAGCTATTCTAAAACATTGTACCTATACATTCATCTGGCATGCTCTGGGATGTCCCAGGAATTAAACCTAGAATCTATCTCATGTGGGGCTAGTTGCATTACCACTTCACCACCACCTGGCTCCAACCATAACACTTTTACACTGCACTGCTCTTGTCATCCAAAATCACAATAATTTTGGATTGTGTACCATGAGTCCTCTTCTCATACTGTATATTTTCTCTAGATAATTTCAATTGCCATACTTCGAGTATAATCTACAGTGCTACAAATCCACATCTTTGGACAAGATCCTTCATTTAGTTATTGATTCAAATAGCTAGCTGCCTGCTTTATATGAATGACTTCCAAAAATAGAATTTATGACCACACTCCAAAATTTCCTTTTCTCCTGCACTTATAATTGTATGGATTTCTGGCAATCCTCTGAGGAGCAAATCTCAACAAATGTGATTCTTCCTTGTCTTCTTCCTCACTATCTGTAGGAAACTAGTTCCATTTTAAATATTTCCACAATTTGTCCTCTCTTTCCTCCCTCACTTCCTGTCACCTAAATCCTAACTGGATTTCTATGGTAGTCTCTTACTTGTATTAAACTTTATTCTTTCTAATCCATTATTCTCAGTACTAATAGAGGCCTTTCTAAAGCACAACTTGACCATATTAATGACCCACTAAGTTTCATTAAAGGCATTTTGTTGGCTTCCAGAATGACATTTGATAGCTAAGTTTAATAAAGGAAAATTGTTGAGTCCTGGCTCATGTCTACCTTTTCAGCTTTCCCATCTGTCTTTTAGTCTACCCTCACCTTCAACTCCATTCCAAACTCCCTGCTTTATAGCTCCTTGAACATCTGGTGGCTCTTTTTCCCTGCTACCTTTGCACTTGCTTCTCCCTCTGGTTTTCTCCACCTTCACCTCTGGCTCATCTTTTTTTACATCATTACGTCATCACATCCAGCCTTGTCTGTCTTCACTATTAGTTAACATTTAGTGAGTGTTTACCCCATTCCAGGCATAATGTTAAGTACGTTGGATGGATTATTTCACTTAATTGTCACAGGAACCCTATTATGTGGTGTGACTTAACCAGAAAGGCTAAATAACTTTCCAGTGGTCATGGCTATAGTAGGAGGTAAAGCAATTATTAAATTCTAGTAGTCAGATTCCAAAACTCACCTGCTAATCACTATGCAATACTATATTCCCAATGTTAGACTAATAAAAAACTGGACTTATTAAGAGGACTACTCATGCTCTTTGATTAAAATAATCAATATAATCAAAATGTCAATTCTACCCAAATTAATTTACATACTCAATGAGATCCTAGTCCAATTACCTGAGATAATCTTTACAGAAGTAGAAAAAAAATTACAAAACTTGCCTGAAATGAAAAAGAAAAAGACCTCATATTGCCAAGGCAACACTGTATCTATAAAACAAACTAGGAGGCATGTCACATGTAATTTTAAAGTATATTACAAAGCAGTGATAATCAAAACAGCATGGTACTGGCACAAAAATAGATACATATAGCAATGAAACAGAATAGAGAATCCAGAAATAAGCCCTAAATCTTATAGTCAACAAATCTTTGATAAATGATGTTGGAAGAACTGGATATCCATTTGCAGAAAAAAATGAAACTGGACTTCTATCTCTCACCCTTAGCTAGAATTAACTCAAAATGGATCAAAGATTTAAATATAAGGCCTCGAACTACAAAATTACTAGTAGAAAACATAAGAAAAGCTTTTAAAGACACTGACATAGACAAAAATTTAAATAAGACCCCTAAGGCACAGGCAAAGGTCCCTGAAATAGATAAGTGGGATTACATCAAACTGAAAAACTTCCTTACAGCAATGGAAACTCTAACTAGTGTGAAAAGAAAACTCTCAGGATGGGAGAAAATATTTGCAAATTATTCCTCAGACAAAGGATTGATATCTAGAATATTATAGGAAACTCAAGCAGCTCACTGGTAGAAAAATGAATAATCCAATTTAAAAATAGACAATTGAATAGATACTTATTCAAGAAAGACTTTCAAATGGCCACGGGCTTTGAAAAAATGTTCAGTCTCTTGTTATAAGGGAAATGCAAATTAAAACTACAATGAGATGTAATTTAACCCCATTTAGCGTGGCTAGCACCAAAAAAAAATAAAGCATGACAAGTGTTGGCAAGGCTGTTGTGAAAATAAAACTCTCTTACACTGTTGGTGAAGGTGTAAATTAGCCCAACCTCTATGGAAAACAATATGGAATTTTCTCAAAATCTTACAAATAGAACTTCCATATGACCTAACAATCACACTTCTTGGTGTCAACCCAATAGATAAGAAAAAACTCAGTAGGAAAGATAAGGATACTTGCACATCCATGTTTATTGCAACATTATTTATAATTGTTAAAACATGGAACCAACCTAAATGTTAAAAAACTGATAATTGAGTTGAAAAACTATGGCATATATACACTATGGACACAGCAGAAAAAAAAAAAAAAAAAAAAAAAAAAAAAAAAAAAAAAAAGAAATTTTTTTTTTAAACACAAAAAAATAGAAGACTTAATGTTGAGTGAAGTGAGCCAGATTTTAAAAGATACACATTTTATATCCCCACCCAATTTGTACTGTGTCTGTACTTTATGGCAGAAATCGAGAGATCTGAAGATGTACTGGTGGAGAGGACGAGTGTGGATGCTTGAGACTGTAAGAAGAGAGTGGTTGGTAAAGAGTGAGACTGGCAAGTGGACGGTGGCTGTGAGAAAAAAAATTAGGTCATGTCTGCTTAAAATTGTTATGTGTTAAACTACTCTGCAGATAGTTTAATAAACGCTTTATCAAATTATGAACATTCAAGTGCAAAACTTTTTGAAATTATAAATGATAACAAGAGAAAAAAAAACCAAAACATTTTTGTTCTGTTCACTCTAGTGCATATCTGTTCATTTATATGTCATCCAAAGAGCACTTCGCCTAAAAGAAAGGGCTGTTTACAATCCTTTGTAAAATTGTAGTTTACCATTAAGTGTGTATGTGTAAGTTATTATTATAAATGTATTACCTGTGTTTTTGGTATATACAACTTTATACTTTGAAGTTTGTAACTGTGAAAATTTATTTTGCCAATGTTTTATGAATCAACCTAATAAAGCTGTTGTAGAGAAGGAAAAAAAAAAAAAGGAACAAAGCCAATAATTTTACTCGTATATCCCAAAAGCTAATTGACTGCCTTGACCCCAACAAATGTTTGCTAAATTAATCCTAATTACACTTTCCCAAAATCTATTTTGTATTAATTTGTGGCTAACTGATTGTATAACATCTCTTCTTTCAATTTTTCTAAGCTGAATAACTCAACCATCGGTTAATTATATTTATTACAGAGTAGAGTAATACATAAATGGGCCACTTCCTTTATTACCAAAGAGTTACACAGGGAAATACCTCAGAGCTCGAATGATTGTGCAAGTTCAGAAGGAAGAGAGAGTCTCCTTGAGCATAATACCCCATCTCATTATCAATCGTGTAGCCTACAGCACTTATATCTCTTTCCACTGAAAAGGTCCACACAACTTGATGTCGATCCATATCTAAAAATATTATCTTGTTGCCAAGAAGAGTTATGAGGTAAGGAAATGGGTTGATTTCTGAAAACAAAAGACAAATAGATAATATGTATGAGAAAACTAACTTTAGTTTAGCAAAATCTCTTGACTCAATATCAGCCAGGTTTGGAATCCATGGCCCCCTCTGGGTTCTCCTGAAGCATCTGTTTCAATGAAGGCTCTATGCTCTTTAAATCTAGGTTTGTTTAAACATGCTTTGATGATGATAAAAATCATTTTTTTTGCTTGACCTTAACTTCAGTTCAGAGATGTGTTCATGTCTCTAAAGATACGAATGGGCAAAAGACACTTGTAAATTGTTATTTGCACAGATTTTAGATAACAAATACCTGATGTTTTAGACTTTACTATGTCAGAAAATGGTCCTGGCCCTTTAGATGTGAAAACCCGAACCTAAAGGAAAGAAAGGAAACAAAAAATTGTTCAACAGTGTTCTCAGTGGTAATAATCAAGTTTTGAGACTGATAAATAATTGAATGCTTCATGTGACACTACTGACATAAATATTATTGATAGTTTTGAGTAGTTCTTTACATCTAAGTATGGGGCAATAAATCACTGCAAGGAAAAAGTGTCATATGCTCATGTTGTTGGGTTTTTCAGTCTAGGAAAGGGACAATCTCTATTGCAAAAAAAAAAACAATGAAACAATAACTTTCTTTTTTTTTTTTTCTTTTAACAGGTTTTTGCTATAGGGCACATGCACTCTCCAGAAAGACAGAGAGAGACAGAAAGCAAGAAATCACCCCTTGGAGGGTATGGCCAGACTGCAGTCCCTTCTCCTCCATTCTCTTCTTGGGATCCTGGGCACACATGCACATGCATCCAACATGAGTTTCAACCACCAGGTCCGGGACTTGAACCACAGTTAACTACATGGGAGTTCAGTGACATAGCCATTATGCCAACTGCTGGTTCCTATCTCAATAACTTTCTTAAAAAGGTCCCTGGATTTAATGTACAGAATAAGGTGGTGATGGATGCGTTAATTTGATCATAGTCATCATTTCATTCCCTCTATTTTTGTTTAAAATTTAAAATTATAAAGGTCTTGAGCTATTAAATTAAGTTGCATAGGACGTTTAATAGAAATAAAATTACAAACGATGGCCAACTTCCACTTACCTTAAATTCAACAACTAGAGAAGCTTCCAATAACTACATTTCCCATACTTTTTAAAAACAAGATTTATCAAAAGAAAATAATAATTAAGCTAGAATTTGAAAATGAGCATTTCAAACCACCGTCACATAGATAACTCTTTTGGCCCTTGCGACTACTGCATCAAGATCATAATATATTCAAAGTGTGAAGGGAAAAGCAATTTCCACCAAGAATACTGTACCTGGCAAGATTATCCTTCATATGGCAAGAAAAGACAAGATTATTCTCAGATAAGCAAAACCTGAAAGAATTTGCCAACACCAGACCAGATCTCCAAAAAGTTCTCAAGGGAGTGCTATACCAGGAAAATTAAATACAGACACACAGAAATAAGAGTTCAAAAACTAAGAAAACAGCCAACTTAATTGTAAGAACAAGTCTGGAGTTGAATATTATATCCCGGAATTTAATCGGGAAGATTGAAGCACAACAGAAGATAAAATACATGAGACTGAACTGGTGAAATAGCATTTTGTGACTTTTGACTAAAACATTGCTGATTTTCTTCTAGGCTTCGTTTTCTGGTTTTAAGGATTTTTGTCTTGTCTTGAGCTGCCGACAGGTTCGTGTACTACTATTTGAACAGAATCCTAAGCTGTTTCCTGGCTTTAAGTTTTAAGCAAAGTTCCTTAGCATTTGTTTGATTTATTATAACTAAAACTGCTTTCCTTTTAAATTAAAAATATATTAAAAAGTACCTACTTAATGACCGTAGTAAGCTATATAGCATCAGCTAGGTGCTACCTTATAGTATATTCATTCTACTCAGAGTTTCTCGCCTAAAGTCAGACATGTATTCACACATATGTACATAACAGTTGAACTTGCCATTGAAAGTGGTTGGATTACTTAAGAAATTTTGTGAATCAATAAAGCGTGGGGGGAAAAAGGAATGGAAAACAACTGTAGACACCTGAGAGTGTGGAAGGAGGGTGGTAAATGGCAAAGGGCGAGAAATAGGGGTAAAATATATATACATGAAACCGAAAATGGAAAATTATTGATGATAACATGTATGATTAAACCACTATGCAGTATATTCGGGATGGGAAATAACATTTTGTATGCTATGACAATGCTCAGGGAATGAATGTAAATTAATTAATTAATTTTTTAAACGTTTCAGAAGAAAATTATAGTGAACTTGTCACTAGATTCTAGCTTTAACCGTTTTTGTTTTGCTTTATTCATATTTTTAAAGTATTTTTGTCAATCAATAAAATGTGGGAAAAAGTTTAGTATCGAAGGGAGAGAAGGGAAAGGGGAAGGAAAAAGCAAGTAAAAGTATACTTAATTTCCAAAAAAAGTGAGAAGCTATTTGCTGATAAGTTATAGAGTAATATCTTTGGTTTGATTGACATGCATAATATTTGTGCTGGAAAAATAAATGTTGTACACTGTAAAGATGTGATTAAATGTAAATAGATAAATTAATTAAACAAAAACAATATGTACATATAGACAAATACACTTAACCACAACATTTATTTAACTGGAGCACTCATAATTCTTAACAAATAGAACTGTATATTATCTTTAACTTGTATTTACAACTTTTTAAAATTTATGTACATATTTTTGGAGAACTAATAAAATTATCAAAATAATTACTAAATTAGAATTCTACTAAAAGAAACACTCATAAGAAACTCAAATCACTAAAACATTTTGCCAAACATTATCTTTCTAAAAAGAAGCTAAAATAATTCAAACCATGTACAACATTGTCACCAACATGGTAATTACTAGGGATATGAAAATCATCAAGCCATTTATTTTAAGTGGAAAATTACTTCATATGAAATTTAAGATGTCAAAACAGGGTGCAATAGATGTTTTCCTTGATTGCTATTCTCTCCTGCTCTGTTGGTAGTATCTATTGATAATCTATTGATAACAGGGAGGTGGTAAATGTGAGATATAAGCTATGCTGATCCTCAACTGTTATTTCCACTGACAGCTCCAAAGCAAGGCATCCACATGATACTCAGGAGTGCCATGATACGGTGGAAAGGACTCTAGACAACGGATTAAGGTGGGACCAGCAGTTAGCGTAATGGCTATGTCGCTGGACTCCCACGTAGTCGACCACGGTTCGAGTCCCGGACCCGGTGGCTTTAGCTCACACCGGGCGTGTGTGCGTGCGTGCCCAAGATCCCGAGAGGAGAATGGAGGAGAAGGGATTGCAGCATGGCCATCCCCTCTGGGGGTGATTTCTCGCTTTCTGTCTCTCTCTGTCTGGCGAGCGCACGCGCCCTATAGCAAAAACCTCTCCAAAAAAAAAAAAAAAAAGACAACGGCTTAAGGCACTTTCTAATCATGCAGCTTTGGTAATTAACTGATACACTTAGGGACCTGGCTTTTTCTTTGCAGCAAGGATCAATGAAATAATATATATAAAAGTACCTATTGTGGAGCATGGCCTGGAGTGATCATGGCAAAAAATAATGCATTTCTCTGATCTGAAAAATATCCTGGATGCAAAACACTGTGAGGATGTTCTTTAATTAAACTGTCACCTTTCTCCTCTGTACTTTGGTTGGCCACTTGGCCCCTCTGTCACAGTGTACCTCAGACTCCTTTCATTAACCTTCTGTTTGCACTACTAATACTCGCATATCTAGTTTATCTAGTTTCCTCTCTCATACCTGGAAGGCAACAGTGTATCCAGGACTCATGTCTTCAAGTTGAAAAGACATCACTGAAGGAGTGACATTGACAGCAATCCAGTCTTTGAATGTTTTATTTGTGTCACTTTGGTTAGATATTTGATAGAAAATTTCAAATCTTGTTAACACACCATTTTCATGCTTAGGTTTAGTCCATCTAAATTCCACCACAACTTTGTTCTTGTGGTATTTTCCACTTGGTAATATAAATATTCTGGGGTTCTCTGGTGCTGATGGAACTGAAAAGTAGAGGCACAGATAAGGTAGAAAAATATTAAGGCCAACTTTTACCACTTATGATCAGGGCATGGAGCAGCTCTGCAATAAATTTGCTTATTTCAGGGAGTTGAGATAATATCTATCTCATTCTTAAAGACCTTCAGGAAAGAACATTCTGTAGATTTCTTCTAGAACTTAGTCTGATATGACCACAAATCTTACTGACAAGCAAGGCTTCTTATGTCCAACATATTACAATTTAAGAATATCTTTCTCTTCGGTGTCCTGCATATAGAGAAGGTGACTCATTCTCCTTATGAAACGCAATATCGCCTCCCATCTCCACAGACTGATTTAGCTGGAGGTGGAAATGTCCATCATCCAAAGGGAAGCTCTATCTCTAGCCAGCTTTTACCCAGTTCACAGTTAAAATATAGTATATTAGAGATACAGATCCTCTCACACTGAATCTCTCAGGAGTCAGGAAGAGAAGGCTGATGGTATCCCAAGGATATGGTTTGGGAATTCCTTTTTTTTTTTTTAATTTATTTTATGTATTCCATCACTATACCTCACTTAACTTGTAAAGTGAATTTACCCAATATGAATACACTTCACACTAGTCAAGGTGAGGATACTATACATATTATCACCAATATAAAATAATCTATTTATGTGTCCCATAAGTGTCTTGCCATTTAATCCAGAGCCAAACCAAGCAATTCAGTCTCTCTCAGTCCTTTGATCAAGAGAAATCCTTCTCCCGGACTTTCGAGTGATTTTACTTTAGATGTCCCGTTTGTTTTCTCGGTCTCCTTCATTAGAACCCCATCCACTCCTCCATTCCAATCATATTGCTTCTTAATACCAACACCTACACCATTATTCGATCTCCAGATCTGTTTACATTGTGTTTCTTACATGGGATACCTCTTCTTATTCCATTCCTCAGTACTCAGCTAAAGCTTCTGCTCCCCCAAAGGCCTTCCCTGATCACACCAATGCTTTGCCTCTCCCTCTCCTAAGTCTGAGGCAGCTTGGTAACGGTAAATACCTATTGTATTACTGTTATCAATATAAATGGTCATATCTACCTACTCTATGCCCTTACTACTACTCAGTTATCACTGTCTTGTTTCTAGTATTGCTAGCCATGTATGTGTTCATTTGTCTTCTATTTTCGTAAGTTCTGTAAGAGAAAGTTCTGTAAGAGAAAGCATATTTTCTTATCCCTTACTACATCCCCCTAAATCTCGTATAGAACAGATGCACACTAAGTGCTTAATAAATAGTGATCATTTTGAATCATTTCTGACTGTACTGTAAATTTCCCTTAAAGCAAGGGACCATATATTATTCTTGTTATTTATTGTCCTGAACATCCGCTGAAATGCTATTTACCCTGATGGATGTAGTCAAGTCTATTTCCACTGAACATTTCAACCATGGCCAATATCCAAAGACAATCTCAAACAGAGCGTACCTGAATCCAAAGGCTAACTGCTCCAGAACCCGCCCAGGCTCCACTATGTTCCTGTTGTGAAACCCATGGATAAATATTGTTGAAAGCATCTTACCAGTAAAAATTGCAATGATGAATGAATACCTGTGTTTATGGAGTGCTTACTGCCTGCCAGGTCTTGTGCTAAGAAGTGCATGAAAGGATTATCTTCTACCAACAATGGTACAGTTTCTGATGAAACTGTAGCCACTTTCTCACCTCCATTATCAAGATGATAACACCTGTCCTATCTACCTCAGAGCTGTATGAGGAACAAATGAAATAACATTTCTGACACAAGATAGGTATGAAATAAATGTTTAATAGAAGAGTGATACACATAAGTGTACTTTGTACACTTGAAAGAGATAAACATATGTGAAGATGCCGCTATTACCCTTTTAACAATATATTCCTCAAAAAACATTAAATTAGACATTAGCTATTCACCCACAAATGATTCTAAGCTAGTATCCATGAGAACAGCCTTATAAGAAGTTATCTCTGCTCTTAAATGCTCATTTTTCTTATGAAACCTTTCAAAAATTACCTAAAATATGTGTCTGCATCTTCTATACCACTACAATCAAATGAAACAGTCTTTAAGAAATCTTTGAAATATTATCTTGGAATAAATTATGCAGATATATTTTGATCATGCTATTCTAATCTCCAAAAAGTCATTTCGAGGATATTGAATCTAAACAATCTAAACACATCTACAAAATTGAAAGTTATTTTTAAATATTAACTATCCATTCCTCATCATAGAAAATAATATTCTGCCTTTCATTTTAAAGAGAAATTTTTAATCCCTGTACCTGTTTCAGGTGCCCGAAGAGATAGGGATGTTTTGGGGCCCTTTCCCCAGTAGGTGTAGGGAGTGACAGAAAGATTAAATGTAGCATAGGGCTCCAGCCCTTCCACCATAAATACAGGTAAAAGCTGTTGTTCACTAGCCAGGAACTACAATATAAACACAAAACATCATTTTCTTAGGGGAAGAATGATTTTAAAAATTTACTGCTAATTAATTAAAATCTTCAAACTTTGGTCACATTGAAGTCCATACTTGCAATTTAGAAAATGCTAATTTTGCTAGGTCCCATGGTTTACCACACTGACCAATTAAAGTATATTCAACATAGCAGTTAAATAGACTTTAAAGCGATCAGAGATGGGTTGTAAACAAGTGTTCTCAGGAGTAATCATAACAACCAGCCATAATGGAAACAAAGGAAATGGCCTTGGCTAGGTAAGCAGAGTCATCAGGACCAACACACATAGTGCAGTCTTTCTGGGAAATGGAAGTTACTAGAACCAACACCATACCTTAGAATGAGCACTGAATTCCACACTGTAGAAAACAACCCCCCAATCCACTGAAGGGGGAGCATTCCACAGGATTTGAAAACTCGAAGCATTTCCTTCAATCCTAAATGAAGACTCTTGAACAGAATCTGGGATAACCTTAGGGGTAAAAGAAAAGTTCCCTGTGAAATAAAAGGAAGAAAAAATGGAGAAAGACTTTAATCAACCCAAATATAGAAATCATGGAAAATCCATCTGAATTGCTTATAATTAGAACTAAAACAAAGATTTCCTTTTCTGTAATGTATCTTAAAAATCATCTTTTCTGACTTTTTCAGGCTATAAATTTAGGATAGGATTAAACTGGCTTCAGGGACCAGCATGTGGCATAGTGGTTGAGATGCTGGACTTCCACATGGCCAACCATGATTTGAGTCCCATACCTGACAGCTTGAGGGTCACATAGGGCACATGTGCATGTGTGCTCAGAGTCCCTGGCAGAGAATGGAGAAGGAATTGTGCCATGGCCATCTTCCCTTGGGGGTGAATTCTCATTTCCCCTCTCATTGTCTCTCTTGTTATCTCTCTCCAGTGAGAGCACATGCCCTATAGCAAAAACCTTAAAAAAGAAAAAAAAAAAGATCAAACTGACTTCAAAAAAAATAGAAACTAATGAAATGTTTTTCTCCTTAAGATATAGTTCTTAAGACAAATTCCAACCTAAACATTTATTTGACAAAATGTGTGAGGCAGAGAAGGTAGGCATAAATAAAATATTTACCTGGCAGAGGCTTGAGGGATGTCTGAATAATTGTGAACTGAGTAAACTTGGCTGGTTCGGAAACAGATACACTGGTTCTCTGACCTATTTCCTGAGCTGTGATAACTCTAAAACCATTGATCCAGAAAAGCCGACCACTATAGTACACCAGTGCATTCTGGGAAATTTCAGAAGTACTCCAGGCCGCAAATTCTGTGATGGTGGTATCTCCCGCACTGCTGAAACATAACGTCAATTAGTATGTTATGATGCCAGCAAATGGCATAGCAGTTACGTGGCTGGACTCCCACATGGCTGACCTTGTCAGTGTCCCAGACCCAGTGACTTGAAACTCACACTGGGCATGTGTGCATGTATGCCCAAGATTCTGGAAGGAAAATGGAGGAGAAGGGATTGCAGCGTGGCCAAGCCCCAGTGGGTGATTTCTCACTTTTCCTCACTATCTCTGTCTCTATCTCTCTCTTCAGCAAGCACATGCGCTCTAGGTAAAAAAACTATTAAAATAAATTAGTATGTAATCTGGAGTGGGAGGAAGGCTAGTACATGGAAATATTTGTCAGAATGTGTATAAGTTTGTCTGGTGTGTTTGTTTACATAAAAAGAAAGAAAACACCTTGCAACAATTGTTATTATTTTTGGTTTCATATTAAGTTGATTGTTTAACATTTTTCTTAAAGTGGTAGGCCTAAACCAAATTTTCTAAGGGCTTTTCTTATTAATGTGATATTGAAGCTACAAGAGTCTTTACATATGTTAGCAGCTTTTAAAAAAATACTTGGGTTTTTTATAATATATAATATCAAAATCAAAACCTGAATTTTCATTATTTCATTAGCACAGAGATCCTATCTTTGATTTATTCCATGTGTTCTTATAATACTTTCATAAGCAGAAGAAAATCAGGAGGCAAAGTACTTTCAGGACTTGGAAACAAAGGTATCATCCAGAAATAAACCAGGAAAAACAGGTGTGTGTGTGTGTTTGCAATCTGTACAAAAGACTTAAAGACAACTTATGGATGTAGAGTAAACCACACTGAAGATAGCAAGAATTGGGATCCAAGTATAATTATAACTTTAAAAATAAAAACTATTATATCTGAGGGATTTGGGGGAAAAATTAAAAAGCAAAGAGCAAGAATGTGTGGACATTTATCCAAAATCGACAGGGATGATACTTCCTGAATGTGATGGCCAGTCCCCAGAAACACAGAATAGCTCTGTGATGAACAGTTGCTCATGACTTCTGACATCGTCCTGGGTGGGCATTTCTCCAGTCTATCTAAGAACCTTCTCTCAGAGTCCTCATTCTTCAAGCAGCCACCCCTCACCCAACTCAGTGCGCACGGTGCCACAAAGGCGTGGCCTGCATGCCCACATGATTATTCTCATTCCTGAATAAGATGGGGCTGCTGTGGTGGTACAGTAGTAACACAAAGCTCTGCAATACTGGATGTCATGTGTAGGACTGGAGTTTGGCTCCCAGGCCCACCTGTAAACTTCAGTCATGTACATGTCAATTATTCAGGCTGTTTAGGAAACCCAGGGAAGGGGAGGATTGCTGTGTGAGGGCTTATTGAGGGTGCTTTAAAAATAAACACTATACTCTACTGTGAATTAACGATTTTGCTGTGTAAAGAATATTGTAGAAACAGAATCGCATGGAACCTCCAGATTAACCACTTATTATATAATATATATAATATATAATATATAATTATATATAAAATATATATACATGTGTGTGTATATATATACACATACAGTTCACCATAACACAGAATCAGAGGGCTCCCCAAGCTTGTTTTCCTACAACTCCATAGTCTCATCTGGGGATGACAGTAGACAGTGAGACCTAAAGCATGCTGTTTATGTTCAGTCTACTCTGACATCTCATTTTGGTTGCTGTCATTGCAGAAAATCCTGTTTGGGGAAGACAGGATGTTGGAAATGGAAGCACTTTTCAGTGTTTCTGTGGCAATCTCAGGATATTCTGCCTTGACTTTAACCCAAAACATATAGAGATTTGTTGTTGTCTCAAACATACTTTTAAGGCCATTATCATTTGTGATCTCAAGCAGTTGATCCTCTTCTAGCACAAACAAAATTGATTCACCTGGTTTATTCACAAATGGATTGTGAATCCATTCCTTCCCATTTTGGGGGCCTTTTGTAGTTGGGAAGTAATGCTCAAACTCTTTTGAAAGCCAAGATAGGTAATTATGCACCAGCTGGGAGATACAAGGTGCTAACTCAGTCTCTTTCAAAATCCGGCTAATGTCTGAAACATGTCCAAAATCCCAGTGTTCACACATCACTCCCGTAATTTCAGCTTGGCTTTGAATGCAGCCACTTCATATGCCAACATGAGCACAGTTGTTATTCAACCCTGAAGTGACAGAACGAGTTCACTGAGCAGGTTTAATATGTCATCCAAGTAAAAAAGTTTTGTGACCCATTCTGTATCACTGAAATGTGCTGCCAGTGGTGACCATTTTTCTAAAAGAAATCTCTGGAACAGCTCTCATTACTCAAAAGCTCTGGCCAGTGACCTACCTTTAGAAAGCTATCTCACGTCTGTGTATAAGAGAAGATGTGTATGTTCTGCGTCCATCTCCTCACAGAGTTGCATGAATGGACATGAGTTAAGGGCAAATACTTTAATGTAGTCGATCATTTTAATCACATCCTGCAAAATGTTAATTTCAGGTGACATTTTTCGGCTAGCCAGCATATCTTCATGGATGATGCAGTGCATAAACTCACATTCAATGCAACTTCTTTGACCCAAGCAGTGAAACTAGAAAGCTATCCACTCATGGCAGCCACTCCATCTGTGCGTAAACTGCCTAAGTGACCAATTCAGTTTTCCTGATATGTTCAAAGACTTGTATCATTTTGCAGGTGTGGTGCTGGTTGGCAACAAAAGTGCACATAATATATTCTTGAACACATCCTCCTGAAAATACATCACACAAAAACAAGTACTACTGCCTTGTTGTCAACATCAGAAGACTCAACAACCTGGACTGAGTACCATGATGACTCATTAATCCTCTCTAATGATCATGCTATTTCATCAATTCATCTAGTTATGGTGGTAGCCAAAGGAGGAAACACGCCATCTTTCAAACTACAGCCCCTCCTGAAAGTTCACAACAAATGTCCTTAGCAGCAGATAGGATCAACTCTTCACCAATAGCAAAGGGCAGAGGGCTTCTTAGCTTTAGCAATGAAGTTAGCCACTAAGAATGATGCTTCCAATGCAGACATATTTGATGAAGTAGTGGTCTTCAATAATTGCTCCTGTTCTTTGTGTTCACATTTTTTCTTTTGAAAAATTCCAAAGGCTTATCTTTTAATGCAGGTTTCTTGATCTCCATGCGGTGAAGCAGTTCTAATGGTTTCATGGTTTCTGATAGCTAGTCGCCACATATGATACAAAGCATACTTGGAGAAGGTGAATCACCTGTTGTACTGAACCCATAATTTAAGTAGGACTCTTGGTATTTTCTTTTAAATGCAGATTTCATATTGTTGAAAATCTTAGAGTCTTCTGCTATCTCTTAACAGAGTCTTTCTCCCTTTTCTAATAAGCTCTCCAGAGACATTTACTTTTTACTCATTTTGTCTAGGGTTAGCTTGTGGAATTACCAAAACTGTGACTGACACTTGTACAGTGCAGGAAAAAAAAACACAGATAGAAATGGTAAATAACAAATGCAGATTTCATATTGTTGAAAATCTTAGAGTCTTCTGCTATCTCTTAACAGAGTCTTTCTCCCTTTTCTAATAAGCTCTCCAGAGACATTTACTTTTTACTCATTTTGTCTAGGGTTAGCTTGTGGAATTACCAAAACTGTGACTGACACTTGTACAGTGCAGGAAAAAAAAACACAGATAGAAATGGTAAATAACATAATGAGCAGATGTACAGTGCAAGAAAAAAAACACAGATAGAAATGGTAAATAACATAATGAGCAAGCCATGCACAGACTAAAATAAGTGCCTGATTCTGAATTAAACCCTGCCACCAGATGTAGATGAACTGTCACTTGCCACTCATTAATAGGGTTTTTGATGAGTCTGTAAGCAATTGATTTATTATGGTCTCTGTAGAGTAAAACCTCTCTGCTAATGTTAATCAGTATTTGCAGCTCCTCCCCAGTGCTAGCATCACTACCTCAGATCATCAGGCATTAGATTCTTATAAGGCACATGCAGCCTAGATCCTCACATGTACAGTTCACAATAGGGTTAATGCTCCTATAGGAATTTAATGCTGTTGCCTAGCAAGAGGTGGAGGACAGCAGTAATGCAAGCTATGTGAAGAAGTTGTAAATACAGAAGAAGCTTTATCTGCTTACCCACCGCTCACCTCCTGCTGTGTTGGGGATTGGGAACCCTTGCTCTAAACCCATCAGTTTTATTTATTTTGTTTTATTCATTATCATAATCTTTTTTATATTACATTGAATCACATATATCTTTACAATGTATTACATTTCTTTGTCCAGCATAATTACCACTCATATCAGTCAAGACAAAGACAATACTATCCACATCATCATCATCAAATAGCTTTTCATTTTTTTCAGATTATTATTATTTATTCTCATATTTTTTAAACATCCAATCATTATATATCACTTGGCTTGTATAAAGAATTTACCCAACATAAAATACTTCTCAGATGAGTCCAGTTGAAAATACTATACATGTTATCATCAACAGGTAGTAAACCATTTCTGTGTCCCGCTAATGTCATGTCTCACTATTTGTTCTCTTGCTATTCACTATCGCTAAGACATGGAACCAACCTAAATGTCCACAAACAGATGAATTCATGGAAAAAGTGTGTCACATAACCTCTATGAAATACTAATCAGCCATAAAAAACAACACTCTCTATACTCTTCCCTTCCACCACCCGGTTCCACACTGTCTTCAGCATCCATAACTATTTTCACTGCTTTTATACACTCCAATATTTCTGTCTCTACCAGATAGTTGGTATAAATTAAGTGGATACATACAGTATCTTTCTTTCATATCCTGGCTTGCTTCACTCACAATAGATCCTCCATATTTGGCCACTTTATATCAAATGCCAGGGTCTTGTTTTTTATGGCTGAGTAGTATTCCACAGAGTTTATGTGCCACAGTTTTTTTCCATGCATTCATCTGTTTGTGGACATTTAGGTTGGTTCCATGTCTT